CATTTTTTTATATCTCTTTTTTTATTTTTTTGTGTATATATATATATATATATATATATATATATATATATATATATTGTAACACCAAAGTTTGATTTTATTATCAATAATAAGTCAGACAGACAATATTCTGAGTTAATGTTTGATTGGAACCACTTGACACTTAAATAGGTCGATTGAATCAAGTTTGCCATAAAATGCTATTTTGATTGATATCACATTGAGTCTTACAGGAAAAATAGTACGGTATGTGATTTGATTATGGCAGTTAACGACTTGTAAACAAATTTATTCATACTCTTCAATATAATCTTACGTCGAAATTGTTTCAGCTGATATCGTCGTTAATATAACATGTTGCTTTCATATTCTCATCTGTTAGGTCAACATCTTTATAGACATACCGATTGATACTGCATGTTATATTGTATTTATCGTGTTGTGAATAATGTATAATGCATTTTTTTCAGGTCAACCGTCCATTAACAATGAAGAAAGACGGAATTCAAACAAGAAATAGGAAACTTTCATCCAAGTCCAAGAAAAGCAAAAATAAAATTCCAGATGAACTTAAATTTCCGAGTTTCATAGATCAACCAAACCACTATGCATCAGCAATGCACCACGTTCCAGACTACGGTATGGGAGGGACCACTGGTCCTATTCACCACCATACACATCCATCAATGGCCTACTCCTCACCATCTTTGTGCAACAGTCTATACCAATCACCGCCCAGTCACCACATGCCGGTCCCAAGCAGCTTATCATTGTCATCGAACACGAATATGGTCGGAGCGATGGCCTAAAAAGACGGAAAATGAAGCTAATAAAATAGTGACATTTTAAGCTGAATGCCTATACATTCGATCAACAAATATAAGGAAGTTCGTTCCTTTAAGGTGCTAGGTTAAAACAGAAAAAAGGAAATCGACAATAATTGATCAAGGAATTGTTATTTTTTGTTTTGATCAAACTTAAATAATAATGATCGGAAACGAACAAACTTTAAAATGAAAGTTTTTAGCGAAAGACTCTAAAATGTTGTTTTCAACATTATTTATCAGGGCCGGTAATAAGCCGTTTTTATGAAGGGATTGAGAATGAGCAAGTCGTAGCTTTAACGTGTATATAGCGTACAAATTTTGCATATTCGGAGCAGTTTGCTTTGAGAAAAATTAATATTTGTATGATTTTGTATGAAACCAGAGCGTAGAATATTTGGAAGTCTCGTTAAATTTTATAATTATAGATTTGTACCTGTCATTTTGGGAAAGTTTCATAATTGATGTGAACTGTAATTTTTATCAGTATTTCTGTAGATTTTCAATAATCAATATTCAATTGCCTTTTTTATTTTAGACAATTAAATGAAACAAAATAATGTTAAAAAAAAGGTGACTGTATTATAAAAAGGAATGCAATTAAAAGCTGGACTTTGATTTGTGGATACATTT